TTAACTTTTTTTAACTACTAGGAGTCTTTTTTTTTTTTTTTTTAGGTTTTTGCTATAGGGTGCGTGCACTCGCCAAACAGACAGAGACAGACAGAGAGATAGAAAGTGAGAAATCACCCGCCAGGGGGGATGGTCATGCCGCAATCCCTTCTCCTCCATTCTTCTCTCGGGATCTTGGGCACGTACGCACATGCGCCCGGTGTGAGTTTTAAGCCACCAGGTCCGTGACACGAACCGCGGTTGACTACATGGGACTCCAGTGACATAGCCATTATGCTAACTGCTGGTCAGGAGTCTTATACTGGATTCATAGACAATGATATAAATACCGTTTTTCTACAATGTTTTATGTATATATTATTTTGTGAAGATTTTAAGGTTTTTAAAAATGTACTATTCATGCCTTACCTATTAAAAAAAGAACTCTGAAGCAACATTTATAATGGATTTGAACTATTTTCCTGAACTAAAAGTTGTATTTCATATGTTGTCTTAGAAGAGTACTAATTTAAAAGTAGTTTTATATCTGTAGGTTAACAATACAATGTTTCTTAGTTTTTCTTAATGAAAATCTTCACTCCAAATGAGAACAAAGTATTTAAAAGAGAGAATGGGAATTAGACTACTAGAAACTTTGTTTTGTAGCACAGCTCTAAATCTTTGGTGTTTTATACCAGTGTATTCAAAACTTTCCCAATTAAGAAATCCACCATCTCTCCCACAACCGCCCGAGTGAAAGTGAATTAAAAAGCTTTTAAACTGCTATGGGAACAAGATATTTTTAGCTTTCAATCAGGGGTTGAGGAAGAAAACAGAAATAGAACATTCAGATTTTTAAAAAGGAATCATCAATGAACACAGTAAGTATATAAGGAAAATGAAAACCCAAGTGCAGATAACTACAACTATATGAAAAACAATCACCTTAAAAAAGAAAAAATAGCAAATTTAAAGTATAACCATTTATCCTTTAAATACTGTTTTTAGTCACATATTATAAGCACTATTTTTCCAAAAGAATCACCAACCAGATTCAGGGACCTGATTAATTTGCTGTATTATCTTCTAGGTATATTTCTTAGAACACTGGCCTCACGGAAAACTAATCTATTAATATCCCTCAAAAGAGGAAGCTCTGTAATCAGAAGTTTGGCAAAATGTTTGACAATAACCGTGTATACCAATATTTTTGTAAGTATTAAAGGCTCCAAGAATTCTACAAATAAACTTCTTTTAACTTAGCATGTCCCAAACTTATTGTTCCTTAGCCCAATTTCTAGCAGCTTCTCTGACATCTATATTCCTGTTAACAACCCATGAAAATAGTGTCCTAAAAATTACTGGAACAATGGGCCTGATGGAATGAGTTTATCTTACTAATTTTTATCTTATTATTTTCCTAACGATATTACTTGAGTGAATTTATAAGCATTCACTTTTTTTTTTTTTTTTT